TTCTCCTAGCTCCGATGTTAATATTTGAATCGTCGGGGTTTTCTACCGCCTTCCTGATCTGTCTCAACTCAGGGTCTCTTTTCTGTAATGAACTCATTTCCATTGTTCTTATCGCAAATGTCGGTAGTTTCTCTTGTTCCTTGCTTTCCTGTGAATATGGTTGCAAGACTGGGTTGCGTGACATGCAATCAGCATCTTTGTGGGTTGAGCCTTTTTTGTATTCAACCGTGTACTCGAACTCTGCCAACTTCAATACCCATCTTGCTCCCCTTGAAAGAATCCATCCAGCATAGTGTGTGGTCTGTTATAATTTTCACTGGTCTACCGTAGATTTAATGTCTTGGACAGCTTAGGGCCCATACTACACCTAATAGCTCTAACTCGCTTATTGAATAATTTTTCTCGCTATTTGATAGACTTCGACTTATATAGGCTATGGGATGCGCATCTCCTTCATCGTCTTCTTGCAATAGTACTTCTATGGTATTTTTATTTGGGTCAAAGTGCTTTAGTACTGGTACTGATATAAGTTTTTCCTTAAGAGTATTGAAAGCTTCCTTCTGGTTTGTTCCCCATTGAAACCCTATGTTCTACTTTGTTACGTCATGTAATGGTCTTGCTATTGCCACGAAGTTGCATATGAACTTTCTATAGAAATTACATAATCCTAGAAAGCTTTTCACATCTTCAATTTTCTTTGGAGTTGGGAAATTCCCTATGCATACCAGTTTATCTTCGTCTGCCCTTTTCGTTCACATTAACACCCAGGATAGGTACGTAGGTACTTGCATTTGCTTGGTTTTAGAGTTAGGTTTGCTGTCATAATCTTTCCAAAACTTTTTTAAATTTTGCCAAGTGCTCTTCGAACGTTTGGGAGAATATTATTATGTCGTCCAGATAAATCATAATCAATACTTCCTTCCATTTCATGTTCCAAAAAACGTGGTCAGCTAGTTCTTGGAAGGTTGTGGGAGCATTACATAGTCCAGAGTTGAGAACATTAAATTCGTAGGTTCAGTGTCCCTGGGCCACGAATGCAGTGTACTGTTTGGAGCTTTCTTCGAGGGGAACCTGCCCGTATCCAGAAAACATATCAAGAGTGCAGAGTGCTGAAATAGGATGCATTTCCGAGATATGACAGAATAGCGTCGATTTGTGGTAGAGGATATGATGATTTCTTTCTTACGGCATTAACTTTTCGGTAGTCGACACAAAAACGGATTCATCTTTTTTTTTACTAGGACCACCGGACTACCCCACGGTGAATAACATGGCCCTATCACATTGCTGTCTAGCATTTATTTGCTTTTATTTGCTCGTCGATAATTTGCCTTTCTTTCTGAGATACTCTGTAAGGACGGCTTCTTATTGGACTTGCTTCCCCTACTTCTATTTTATGTTCTGTCAGATTTGTCTTTCCCATCTGCTTTGTTGATTTGGCAAAAACGTAATTATAGTCCAGTAGTAGTTCTTCTAGTGCCAATTTAATTTCGCCGTTTGTGATGTTGTCCAGCCTGTGGTCGTCTAGTATTACTGCTTCTGTCTATTCCTGTTCCACGATTTCCTCCTGTGTTACTAGGTATAGGCAGGGATTTCGTATTTCGGTTTCCCTAAAAATGCCATCGTGGTTCCTGCGTATAAAGCTAATGGATATCTTCTGTTGGATTTAATTTTTTATTGAGGTTCTTTCCATCTGTATAGATGTGTGTTTTTAGTGCATTCGATTTTTTGCCAGCCAATTTAGATTACATTTACATTTGTAGCCCACTGTCTCGTTTAGGTTGCCGGTGTTGCCCATGATTTCTAATTCTAAGGTCTTTATCTCATTCTGTGTTATCATGTAGTCCTTTTTGGCTCCTAATTTATGTGCTTTTTCTTGGGTGTCCGTGACTATTTGCATTAGAGGCTTAATTTCATCTTCAATTTTTGACTCTATCTTCCGGAAATCTGGTTTAACTCTCTGGATGCTGACTCCCGTGTCTTTGAACACAAAATACAGCATTTGTTTGAATCTTTCCTATTCTTTTTCTAGTCCCCATCCTTGTCTAGAAAATACGAGTTTTTTGAAGAATTGCTCTTTTATGCTTTCTCCAAGTGTTATCAAACATTTATACATGTTTCTTTGTGTGAGTTTTGTCTTTGTCTGCATTGCCTCTTACAAAAAGGAACACTGTTGAGTGTCTGTCGTGGTTTATTACTGATAATTGCCCGATTATGCCCTCTGATTTCCTCCTAGGGAGCATGTGTCTGTAGGATTTGTAAACAGCTTTCTTTGTACCCCGAACACCATGGTGGCATTGCTTTGCAGCTGGTTTCTGAGTCTGATTTCTTCTTTTAGGAAGCTGTTGACTTCTCCCTTTTTTATCTGTGAATGGGCTCTGAGAAATTTGTCAAATTCTTTCTCATCCTGGTTGTGTTTGTTTACCGGTTGGGTTTCAGTATAAGCAGCTTCCGTAGTAGATCTATAATAGCCTTATTTTCTGGTAGAAATTCCATACCTAGGATTATTGGTTGTATGGATGCTGAAATAACTTTTGCTTTAACAGTGCCTCGCCGTACCGTGCTGCCCGAAATTTCCATTGGCATTGTTACCTACTTCTCCTATGACTGGTATCCGATAACCTCTGGCGGGGATTAGGACTGTATTGTCGTCTGTTTGAATCTTTTCTGTTGCCAAATTTCTTTGCATGACGTTATTTTGGACCCTCTGGATGGCCTTTTACTTTAGCGAATCGCTCCTAACGTAGCTTTGTGTTTTTCAGGTAGCTGCCCTGTGCCCCATAGAAGAGGCACTATGTACCATAGGGCCATCCTTTGGTAATTACTAATTATTATAACCTTTACTCTACAATATACCTTAAACTAAATACCAAGCGAGTCTTTATCCTCCTGACCCTACGCTACGTAACCCGACATGACAGGATAAAGTTGAGACATTTGGTGAGGTGCCATCTCAAACCTTACGCCCACAAAAACGGAGCCGACGACGCCTTTAGGTGCCTTGAAAGCAAGCCAACGCCCATACCACGCCACGACCCAGTTACGTCGACAATAGAAAGATTCACGACACCGTAGCGAAGGCACTCAAAAAAAGAAGGAAAAGTAGGTACAGAAATCCTGCAGACAAGTAGTAGTACCATTAGGTCGATGGGTGAAGGCGCAAGGGTTAAAAAGAGTCTAATCGTAGGAATTAATGAGGATCGGTGTGGTAGGCGAAGCCATGTATCGTTATAGGTTAGGTCATATTTTGCGACCTTTATTACTTCAATTTCTACGATTACTTTCACAGGCATGGTGTGTCCTAGTTAGGATACGTACGATACGTACGGTTTTTGGAGCAAATGGACCCGGGTTCGATTCTCGTTGGAGGTTGTTTTTTTTTCCTAAGATTAATTATCAAGAGGACAGGTTAGTTTGGGTTAGTTTTGATTTGCTCTGTTTCTTCTAAAATACCAACACAAAGACTAGCACTTATTACGAATTAGGTACGATACGAGCTCTCCGCCCACCGCAGCGATCCTCATTTATTCCTACGACTAGACTCTTGTCAAGGGTTATCATCATCATACGAATATAGGAAAAGTATTACACATTGTATATGATTGACCGACTGATTGACTGGCGAGTCAGCGATAAACGAATATAAATAGTGGTCGGAACACACAGATAGGCAGTCTCAAACCAGTGCTATCACCCCTTTTGGGAAAGCTCCTCTGGGTGTCTTCAGTCTTCGTGTCGTTCAGTGCAATTACCTCTTTTGGGAAAGCGCCTCTGGACGGCCCTTTACTTAAGCGAATCACTCCTAACGTAGCTTCGTGTTTTTCAGGTAGCTGCCCTGTGCCCCATAGAAGAGGCACTATGTACCATAGGGCCATCCTTTGATAATTCCCAATTAATATAACCTTCACTCTACAATATACCTTGAACTAAATACCAAGCGAGTTTCTATCCTCCTGACTAGTCCTAGACCCTACGCTACGTACCCCGTCATGACAGGAGGAAGTTGTGACAATATAATAGATCGCTTTGATTCCCGATGGGCCACCCTCTATCAACAGCTCATTGGAAAGCTCTGCTTTTGCTGATTTCAATGATATAAAGTTCGATAGGTTCATCTCCAACAGTTTCCAAGAAAAAAATTATGTCGGTTTTTGTCATAAAAAACAATGTGTTGGAAACGGACTTCATATCTACCTTGTGTCTCACTTAAGAACTGACCACCTTTATAAAAATTTTATTTTTTAACCGATTTAATCTATTTTTTTTCTTATATCTTCTCAAATTTGGCACCTATCATATACTAATGTACATACAGGCTGACCACATTTATAGGCTGAAATTTGAATAAGTACTATTAGGGATTCTTTTAGAAAAAATCTGATGCAAATTTTCAATTTTTCCATTGCTCTGGGATTTTCTTGATTTTTTTTTTTGGAGAAAAACCCTTCCACTCGATTGAAGCTGCATTGAAAGTCTTAGCGAGATATTTGTAGGCGATTTAATTCGCTTTATTTTGAGCCTTATTATTACGTTGAGATCAAAATGAAATTAAATTTCCAGATAACAACATTGAGGGATGTTTTATTTCTTTTTTTAGAAAAATGGAAGCGCTAGATTGAAGTTTTGTAAATAGAGAAACAAGTGAGAGTTAGAAAAAAATCCTTTTGCTCGCTAAGCTAAGTAAACACAAAAACTATCACAATAACTCGGAAAAACCGAAAAACCCAATAGGAATTTTCAAAAACCAGAGTTGTTCAAATTTAATTCCTAGTTACTTTCTTTTTGCAAGAATACGTTTTTGCCAATCTAGACTTTCATTGAGATCTTTTGTCTGGGTCATTTTGTGTCTTTATTTCGAGCACCTAGATGTTATGTCAACTGAAATATTCTTATTTGCCTCAAATATCAAAGTTTTTACCTATTTAATCTTTCCTGAGTGGTTTACCAAACCCTTTCAATTGTAAATTTTTATCTGGGACACATTAAAAAAAAAAGTTTACCTTAAATGTATTAGAAACTAACTGAACTTCGGGCCCACCATACACATTCAATATTGTAGGATATTTTTTGTTAGGGTCAAAATTGTGCGGTTTAAATACCATGGCATAAAGAACATGACCTAAAATACTAAACATTAGAATTTAAAAAAAAAATGGATTGAGAAATATTACCAGAACTAATTTGATGAGTATAGAGATCGGGTGAATACATATCGTTAATTGGACCAGAAGATTCCACTAAGTATCCTAAAGGGGTCAAGTTGATGCCCTCCACAGTCCAATCAGTTTCAGTGACTCGAAAAACTTGACAGGCGGGAGGTTTTTGTATATTGCTGTATACTGTCACCAATAAGGAACATGCCTGAAAAAGAATATGTACAACATAAACACAAACTTAATTCTGACCTACCTTATTAAATTCCACCATGTATGAGTATCCTGGTCTAGTCAGCAGTCTTACCTCTCCTGGCCGTTTCAAAGAAACGACATATAAATGTTTTTCTAGGGGTGTTTCTTTCAATCCCATGAAATAAACCAACTGTTTTTCAGGATTGACCCACAGATTATCACTCATAACTTCCCAGTCGCCACTCGTAAGTTGAAGTTTTGAAATCATTTTTGGGGCTAAGAATACAAAATCAGTAGTGGGCTGAAAAAATTAATAATTAAAATTATTGAGATTTTTTTATACATATAACTGGCTCACCTGAGTACTTTCAGTGACGCCATTAGTTGTAGGCGAAATTTGTGATGTAACCAAATATAAATGTCTAAATCCCGTATCTTCATTTGCCCAAATAAATTTAATCTGTTAAAATTATAATAGTAAACCAATAAAAAAAAAAATGGGAAAATACTACCTCATTATGTTCATTGGACGGTAAAAAATACAATAGATCATGTACATTAATCCAATAAGGAGAATATTGAGCATATATTACTTGAACAATCGGGCTACATGACATCGTTTGACTTGAATGATTAAAATAAGGAAAATCTGGACTGAAATTACTAAGCGATAAAATGACTAGTTCCAAATGTTGCTGCCGTCGGTCTAACAGTTGTACCCAAATACTAAAATTCTTAAATATAAAAAAAAATCGTATTTTATATTGCCTACTCACAACTCCGCATCTGGTGTCCATCCCACCCTAACCACATATTCCATCCAAGAAAACATGACATTTAAGGAAAATTGTAAATCTAAAAGGCAAAGATCTACAATTTGTAGATGTTCGTTCAACTTGAATTCGACTAGTTTGAGGCAACTCTTGGAGTTTGAAGAGCCAGCTCTTGGAAATCGGAATTCTTCTACTTCGCCTGTGTCCGACTGAGAGGAAGGAAAGCAGAATAGCTTAACGTCACCGTCGTCCACTTCTTCATAGAGGATTCTGTATACACCACCTAGCAAAGAAAGTATTTTTTTAAAAAATTATAGTGGAAAAAAACTTGGTACTTTGGGAGACTTTTGAAATATTAATTTTTTTGTTGGATAAGTAAGAGGAAGAAATATTTGCCGAATTATTGTAAATTTGAATGTGTGCTCGACATATTTTGATGCAGATAATCTAGTGTACAAGTTTACCTATAGTTTTAGGTTGCCACCAATACCCTTGATATCTACAAAATTCTTCTTGCATAACATAAGATGGAACTCCGGCACTTAGAGGATCGTCTGCCAAATTTCTCCCACCTACAAAATATACACAATAAATGAGAAACATCGTAACTGAAAAGCTATCATCTTTCTTGCCTTTGTGCGCATAAGTTATCCTAACATTCGACCCAGATACTGTATGAGTTACCCAAATGTCGTGATTACAAATGTAGGCCACCAGCTCGGAGTTTGTAGGACAAATCTGAGGATTTAGTTTAGCACCCATTGACGTCATTCTCAGTTTGGTCGGAAATAATTGGCCATTCTAAAAGTGAAAATATAACTGCTGGAATATCAGTCAATGAAAAAAGCATTTTATTGTCCAGAAAGAGAAACGAATTTCTATTTATAAAAGCATGACTAAATACTGAAACAAGTTATTGTAATTCAGAAAAATACAAATTATTTGATTATAATAATATTATTGTGAATCATTCTGTTATTGTTATGTATATTGCATTATTGAATAAATTATTATTGTTCATGATTCTCTTTAGTTTCTCTGTTAATAGAAAATCAAATTCTTACCGTGAATCCATTATCTACACATTGGAATAAACTGCTAGCAGCTGGAAAAACAATTTTTCCAGAATCCTCATGCATTTCGTAACTATTTATGCCCCAAGTAGCTAATCTTTTTCTTTCCCATTGTAGTTGCTCTTCTCTGGAAGACCTAAAAAATGCATTCGCATTTCACTTATATGAAGTTTTGTCTATAATTTGGTAGAACGATGAACACAGCTCATAGGCCACTTTCACATTTTTCAAAAACATATGTAAATTATTGTGTTAGGCCTTTCTGATAACATTTGTATGCTTAAAAAAAATTAAATTAAAATAATAAAATTATCTGAAAATCGAGTTTTTTAACTGCTGCGAATTGCAAATACCACCTTTGAATCGGGCGTTCCCAAAAACTCTCAGGAGCCTGATTCTTAAAACTGGGGAATAGCGTTCTCATGAGAACAACAAATTTTCTATCTCGGTTATTTATGTGAGCTTCTGGGTGGCACTGAAAAGGACATGACACTTGTTCTCATAGGAGAGCTACTCCTCGTTCCGAAATATTGTACAGGGTGGCCCATTTTCGATGTTTTAATAGGCTATATCGAAAACCAGCAGAGATATCCAAAATCTGGGAGCACATTCTTGAGCTCTTTTTTTGAGAAAATAACAATGGCGAAGACAAATCACGGCTAACTTGACGCGTTTAGGAAATACAGGGCACTTTTCAAATTTTGTCCAATTTTAAAAGACTCTCTAATTTCTTTATTATCAAAGATATCCAAAAACGAAAAATACTTTCTATAGGCAGTTTTACAAGTAGAATCCAGTGGCATGACCAATTTTTTTCCAGATGCCACCGATTTTGGAATATTGACCAAAGTTGTGTTTTTTCAAATGGAACACCCCGTATATTATTTTTTTATTGAATAGCTTTGTGAGCTGATTTCAATGATATAAGATTGTATACCTTTACCTTCAATAGTTTTGGAAAAAAAAAATCCGTTTTTTGCATAAGAAACAATGAGTTAGAGAGAGATAGTTGAACTATGAATCGGCTACAAATTTCTTAATTCTTAATTTAATTTTTCAGTTCAGCTAATTTTTTTTCAATTTGAACTATGATTCGGGGGTGATAAATAGGCAACACATAATTTATTTAATGACTTATCTCTCTCTAGCTCATTCTTTCTTATGGAAAAACGGAAACAATTTTTTTTTCTCCAAAACTATAAAAGGTAAAGGTATAAAACCTGATGTCATTGAAATCAGCTCACAAAGAGCTATCCAATAAAAAAACAATATATGGGGTGTTCCGTTTGAAAAAACACAACTTTGGTCAATAATCCAAAATCGGAGGCATCTGGAGAAAAACTGGTCATGCCACTGGATTCTCCTTGAAAAACTGCCTATAGAAAGTATTTTTCGTTTTTGGATATCCTGATCAATAAAGAAATTAGAAGGCGTTTTGAAATTGGACAAAATTTGAAAAGTGCCCTGTATTTCCTAAACGCATCAAGTTAGCCGTGATTTGTATTCGCCATTATTATTTTCTCAAAAAAAGAGCGCAAGAACGTGCTTCCAGATTTTGGATATCTCTGCTGGTTTTCGATATAGCCTATTAAAACATCGAAAATGGGCCAGCCTGTACAGGATGGTCCAAATTGGACACTTTCTTATGGAAACACTCATTATTTTTAGGGATAGAAAAAAATGGACCCCCTACTCTAAGGCTCAATTTTCATGAAATGATTTGTGTAGAGACTTTCTTGAAGCACTTTTCTAAGCAAAATTCAGTGACGTTCTCAGTTTTTTTCTATTTGGCTCCGATTTCGAGATATTGATCAAAATCTGATTTTTTCAATAGGATACCCTATATATTAATAGCTTATTGGAAAGCTCTGCTTTTGCTGATTTCAATGATATAAAGTTCGATAGGTTTAGCCCTTACAGTTTTCGAGAAAAAAAATTATTTCGGTTTTTGTCATAAGAAGCAAAGGACTTTATATCTGTAAGGAAAATGAGAAAGGTCCCTTTCTAACACATTGTTTCTTATGACAAAAACCGAAATAATTTTTTTTCTGGAAAACTGATAGAGATAAACCTATCCAACTTTATATCATTGAAATGAGCAAAAGTAGAACTTTCCAATAAGCTATAGGGTGTCCTATTGAAAAAAAGCGGATTTTGGTCATTATCTCGAAATCAGAGCCAAATAGAAAAAAACTGAGAACGTCACTGAATTCTGCTCAAGTGCTTCAAGAAAGTATTTACGGAAATCAATTATTTTCATAAACAAAAAAGTTATGAAGGTTTCACAGTATTGCTCAAAATCGAGAATCGCTCTCTAGCGACTAAACGGTTGAAGATATCAAAATGCAGTTTGCACCAATCAAGTTTTTATGAAATTTCAGCTCCAGAGTACACTCTGCAACCTCCTGGTCAGATTCAAATGAGACTAGAGTTGCTTTCACAACAATACTGAAGTGTGTGTTTAGAGTTAACATAGGAAAAGAACAGATTTTGTTAATATTGTTTTCTTGCTGTGACTGTACAAGTTTTGACCCTATTATCTCACTTATTTATACGTGGCAAATCCAAAAAAAGTGGAATGCCAACCGAGATTAGAAATGATAGAGAATTATATACAAATTCGAAAGACATTGCTAATGCTTTCGCACAACAATTTCAATCTGTAAATGAAATACCCACAGAAATACAAAATAGGACACCTGATTTCAGTGGTAACTCTTTTGAATTTTCTGTAATTACTGAAGCTAATGTCATTGACAGCATAAAAAAACTTAAACCTAAAAAGTCAACTAGCCCCGACAACATACCAGCCTACATATATGAGGGTTTAGCAGACTTTTTTGCCTCACCTTTAAAACATATTTTTAATTTTGCCATAAAAAATCATCATTTTCCAGAAGCACTGAAAACTGCACAAATAACACTAATTTTTGAGAGTGGCAGTAGAAACGAAATCAAAAATTATAGGTCAATTAGCCTAATTAATGTTTTAGCAAAAATTTTTGAGACCATTTTATTTGATGACTTTTACAGTTTCTTAAAACCCAAAATTTCAATTTTTCAACATGGATTTGTGAAAGATAAATCAACTGTGACAAATCTGTCAATTATATCAGAAGCTGCAGCTGAAGCTATCTTAAATAAAGACCAGTTAGATGCTGTTTATACAGACTGCGAGAAAGCATTTGACAAAGTAGATCATGAAATGAAGCTTTATAAACTTGTTGAATTGGGTGTAACAGAGGAAATTTACCATTTTTTAAAGTCATATCTCTCGAACAGAGTACAGTGTGTCAGAATTGGAATCTGAGGGTCAGAACCCTTCATTGCCACCTCAGACGTGCCACAGGGGAGCAATTTGGGCCCTTTACTTTTTTTGTGTTTCATTAATTCATTGCCAGAGTGTCTCTCAAACTCCACAGGATTACTTTTTGCTGACGACTTCAAACTTTATAGAGTTATAAAAACGAGAAAAGATTGCGATTTGCTCCAGCTTGATATTGATGGAGTAATTAAATGGTTTTCTGATAACAAAATGTTCCTCAATATAAAAAAATTTTCAGTTCCAACATTTACTAGGAAGATCAATCCTATTTTTCATAACTACAAAGTTTTTGATGTCATAATGAAGTGTGAAAGTGAAGTGAAGGATTTGGGAGTTTTCTTTCAATCAAATTTAAAATTTAATAGTCATTTTTGTCACATGAAAAATAAATCCGTCAAGGCTCTGGGTTTCCTAATTAGAAATACAAAGGAATTTGGTATCTCCACAATAATCAGGTTGTATAATGCATTGGTGAGGCCACATTTAGAATATGCGTCACAAATTTGCATGCCATTGGAGGCCAAACATATTGATTGTATTGAGAAGGTTCAAAAAAGGTTCTTGCGTTACCTTTATGTTTTAAAAAACAACACATATCCCTTAAGAGTTTCGTATAAACCTATAGTTTCATTTTCAGATCTCTTTTATAAAGAAGACGACAACAAGCTGTGATATATCTTTTAGAGGTGGGCCAACCTGCGATTTTAATGGAGCTGTGACAAGACGTGACTGCTCCAGTCGTGTAACTGTGACAAATAGCAGTGATTTTTTGGAGCAGTTTTACCTTAGTTGGCGGCCGTACTGGTAATATTATGTTAATGCTACATCGCAACATGGCATAATCGCAATCCGCAGTCACAACCGAGAGAGATGTTCCAGTTTCCAGCCTGTTCCCTGCAGTAGCAGTTTCTCTTGGACGTGACCGCGATGCGATTTATAATATTAAATTTCATTTACATCACTCAGCTCGAGTTCTGTCCGCGCTGTATCGGTCGGAGCTTGAAGCGGGCAGTGACAAAATGTCACTGCTACTTGACTGGGACTGGAGCAGGCCGTGACTGTGACAGACAAGTAGCAGTTCATGAAATCGCAACCCACCTCTAATATCTTTACTATATGTTAAATAACATAAAGTACAAAGACTGTAACTTAAATAATTATATAAATTCTAATGTACCAAAGATTAATTTAAGAATACCAAATAATCAAAAACTATTTAGTGCAGATCCAAATAGTATATCTCCTTTTAATAAAATAATGTTGATAACAAATGAGATTCTCAGTGAGGTCCAAACAGACTTGTTTAATAGGGCAAGTACACGATCTGACAGTTTGACACTATTGACAGTCGCCTTGAGGTAAAACAAAGATATATTTACAGTGGTTTTTTAGGTTTTTAGTTAGATTTTTTTAATTCAATACCTTTTGTGTGGTCCAGAAGTTTCTTGGACATGCCTAGAGTTTGTTTAGTTGTTAATTCTGGCAGTCTAGCGCAAGGGATACAATATTCTTCCATAGGTTTCCATCAATTTTAAATAACAATGAAGGTTTGATTTGTTAGCTCAAGAAAGAAGAGAAAAATTGATTAATGTTGTTAAAAGAGAAGATCTGACAGAAAAATAGATTGAATTATAGAGTAACTATACTTATATATTTGTACTTGTGACACTTGGTTTTGATTTCTGTTGGAAAAACCCTAAATTTAATCCATTATAGGAAAACCTAGCAAACTTCTGGATAAAAGACCACATAGACTGGAACATAAACACTTTCCTTTAACTTTTTTAAAACAAAATAACACAAAAATTTGCAAAAAAGCTGTGAAAACCGCATAAAACATAACCGGCCTAATCTACACGACAATGTAAATAAATGATTTGTTTTACCTCAGGGCGATTGTCAAACTCATTTGTGACGTCACATGGACATGCCCTATACTAGTCTCAAAAATTTGAAGGCTGTGATATGAATTTGTTCTTGTTTTCTTTTTTCTTGTAGGCTTAGGTTGTTAGTTTGTTTGTAGTAGTAAGTAGGTAAGTTTACATGTAATTACCATTTATGGTGTTTGTAAAGAATCCAATAAATAAATAAAAATAAATAAATAAATTATTCAATTATTTAGTCCTGATAAACTGTTAATTTTCCTACTTTTTTATTTTCCAAACAGATGAATGGGATTACCTGTTACATGACGATATACAAGGAAAATTAGACTCCAAAACACATTGCCACTGCAGCCGTAAACTAGCTTGTTGATTGGTATTGGGTATATCAGTGAATAGAAGAGTTGTTTCCCAACCTGTAAGGAGTGAGAAAATGAGTAAAATATAATCTATAATTGGTACAGATTCTATGAAAGCTAGTGTGACAGGGAGGAGTAAAGAAAAACAAAGTATAACTTTTCACGAACTGACTGAGACTCAATAAGGCCCTTGAGAAAATAAACATTTTGATGTGTTATATGTTAAATAGTAGAAATTCAAATTAGCTACTTATAAAATGAGATAACTAACCATTATGTGGAGTACTGAGAAAATATATCCGAGTCCTTTCGTCCTGCAAAGTTCTAAAAGTAAAAGAAGAAGGAATCATAGTAGACAAACTGCACAGCTGTCTCCGAAGCTCACTAACTACAGCTCTCAGTTCAGACCATGTAAGTTTTTTGCTTTGAATTTCCAAAGTCTCATCCTTTGTCTGTTCCTCCCTTATAATCTGGTCTTCTTTCATCAGTTCCTCGGAACACTCTTCCCTGATCTCCACATCCATATTTATCAACGATGGGGGCAATAAATAATAACAATTCCTATTTTTGTTGTTTCCAAACAATGTTATTTTTAAAATTGATAACTTCCCACATACTTTTATGAAAGAAAATGCAAAAAAACTGGTTGTTTATGAATAAAATAATTCACATTTCGTTCGAATTGGAAACTGTCCTAAAAATAGTGTTAAAAAAAGCAACCAACTGCAAAAAATCATTTCATTTTTGACCCAAATTTCGGCCAAAAAAAATTTTCAAACTAACCTCATTTTGGTACCAGGTAAAGTTGTCACACTATTCGGACGTTGCCGGTTTTACCGATTTAAAAATTAGTGGATATAACATGATTCATGATAACCAATTAATTACTGATTTATATGTACCCAATCTTTAACTTATAATAATTATTTTCTTGTCTTGTGTGTGCTTGTGAATCTTGTGATTTTTGATAATTTTGAAAAACAATTTTTTGTTTGAAAGAAGTGTTTTTTTTTTTTGACAGGCGACATGAAATTTCTTTATTTGACATGACAACTCCTAAAAATATTCATCAGGGGCGAGTTCAGAAATAACACACCGGGTTCGAGCATCTCCTCAAAAATTTCACCAAATCTATTAAGATTACTTTTTTTTGTTGTTCATTTTTTTAATTTGAAGAAAAAACTTAATTCTTATTTGTGTTTTGTTTATATTTGGTGGGATTATTGAGATTATGGGAGGAATGGTTGACATAAAGACACAATCACACCGCAGCCACACCAACAAATTATGGTGTGACCGGTGCGACACCTGGAGCGCGCCCGAAGTACTTTCTGAACGGCACAGAGTGCGCGCACTCGGTGTGCCTCGCCCGTATTCATAAGCCGCTTTCCAGCTGTGTGCTTCAAGCACGGTGCAGAACACAGTGTTCTGTGTTTGAAACGCAGAAGTTAGCAGGGGCGAGTTCAGGAATGACACCCAGTGTGAGTGTGACACCGGTGCGACGCCCTAGCTGTTCAAAAATGCTAGACGGTGCTATGGGCCCAATGGCCAATTGTCAATTCAGGCACACCCATAAAATCGCACTCGCACCCTGTGCGTTATTTCTGAACTCGACCCTGTCTCGAAGCGCAGTACGGCTGGAACACGAACATGCGCTTGAAGCATTTGCACGCGCAAAAGCTCGATTGCGAGCTACTCGCTTCGGTGCTTAGTCGCCCCCGATTTGCAGGGAACATATGCGTGGTGCAACAAACACTTTTCGAAAGGAATAAGTGCGTGAAGCCCCGGAGCTGTTCCGGAGCTCCTCCTAGGTGTGAAAGGAATACAACTTATAGTCGATGCTCAAGGTTGCGTCTTGGCTCAAGTACGACTTGACGCCATATTTGCTATTCCAAACAACACGGAACGATGCTCACAACTGTCAAAAATCGAAGCTTTAGCCAAGCACCCGTGTCTGGCTAGCGAAACGGCGAACTGCTAAAGAATTTGCTGCTTTGCCAAACTCGACGGAAACGATAATAAACAAGTTGGTAAGCCTGCCATACGTCCCGTATTAAGCCTAGTACTCATAACTGCGGAATTCGGATTTTTTTGACATTGCTTCGACAATTTGACGTTTGATACACGCATAAAACGTCAAATTTTCAACACAATGTCAAAAAAATGCGAATTTCGCAGTTATGAGTACTAGGCTTTATACGGGACAGTCCCTTATTTCAAGGTCCATGTCCCGCGTCCCCAAATTTATTGTCGGGACGCGTAAATGTCCCGTATTCTCTGATATTTGAAAAATTCGATTTTTGCGTTTCATTCCCATCCCAATTTCTGCGGTGGCATAAATAAATCGATTTTTGCGCCTCATCTCTAGTCTCTGCAAATCGCAACGTGGTGGTCATTCGACATAGCATTTGACATTTGACAGTTTAGAATTTGGCGAGTTCGGCCCAAGGATAATACACACCGCTAAGGATAGTTTATCGGCCTCGTTTTTGGTGATCGCCGCTACATTGGTGTATCACCATTGCCGATATCATCAACTAAGTCGTTAGCGACGTCAGCTGTTTGCGCCAGCAGTCGTAGTCATAGTAAAATATTATCTAATTTTGATTGACATAATAGGCAAATAGGAAGATGGAAGACGCAAACGTGATCTAAAAAATAGTTGTTTTAGAATGTTAATTAATGTAGTAAAATCAAGTATGCATATAAAGCAAAAGCCCGCGGAATCATAACCTTTGGTGCAAACAGACTACGTCAAGGCGAGAAACGACATGCTGCCTACGTCACAAATGTTGATTTGGCGGGGTGGGGGGCGTCAGATTTGTTCTACACAGGTCTTATGAGGATAAGCTACTAAGGGCTATCCTGTAGTAGTAAGGTGTATTATCCGTGCGTTCATCCTACGGGCGTGGTCCCGAAAAAAAAAAAATCGCCTGCTGCTGGCGCTATTTTTTATAAACACATGGATCATCTGCTTCATGCTTCATAAAAATGTCCCGTTTTTTTATCAGAATAATATGGTAGGCTTAAAAGTTGGTGACATATTTTTTTTGCTATGTAGGCATGTGTGACATTTTAAAAAAGAAAAAAATCCGGCAATATTGCGAAATGATGGATGTGGAGAGGCGTGATTATTCAGAGGCATGATTCTATTGGTTAGAGCTTAAGGTTAGAGCCTGAACGACAGCACAGCGGCGTGGTTATTTGCGAAACTTAAAAAAATAATTCTATTGGTTCATTTCCTTGGTGTTTTCGGTGCCACTGAACCTAAAGACATGGCTGTCATCAAGCGATGTCAGTTGAGATGTCAGTGAATATTCTTAGGTTACGCCCCACTTTTCTTCCCCCTTTCGTCTCTATCAACTTACCACTTGCCACTATATGAATACCGGGCTTTTTTAGCATTTACGAACGGCTAGTGCGTCGCACGGGGCTGCGTTCAAAAACGGCTAAAGCCAAGCCAAAATTGGCATATTGCGTTCAAGTTCGGCTCCAGCGTGCCAAAAACGGTTGGCTTTACACGTTCAGAATCGGCCGCGGTAAAGTAACTTTTGGAGGTGCTTTTAATTGAGTCTAGAAATGGTTATACGAATTTTGATTGCATGAGACCAAATTCAATATGGCGTGGCGGCCAGCAAGTTAGTTTTGAATATGTGTTTTCATGCATATTTCAATTATTTTGCTTCGAGTTTTGCTTGCAGCTTTGATTTTGATTATTCAATAAAATATTTGTAGGTACGTAAACTATTGAGTTGGGCAGAAACCAGATATTTTTTTGTGTTTTTTCGTCCATGTGTGGACGCCACGCTATCTTGAATGTCACGTGGTTTGGATTGTCTAATTGAGAAACGGTATTTGGCGTTCCATCAGATTTGGTATTGCCGGTAGAAGGGGAAAAGTAGGTTTTGGCTAATGAACTATAGCTAAAAACTGGAATGCGCACACATTGCCATATCTGCCAAAAAAATGAAGCCATGAAAGACAGATGCCACAAGGGGGAATGTTGTTTTTTTCTGTTGCTCGCTGTCATATGACGTTTTCGAAAGTTTTGTTATATTTCCCTTCATAGGTTTCATCGATTGGAATACGTGTTGGAAGCAATTTTCGCCATTTAACATAATGAGTGCGACAAAAACAGATATCCCCTCCGCAGCAGCTGCTCTAGGCTTCACGTTCGTCCTTATGTGTTAGCATTCCAGTTTTTGGTTATAGTTCATTGGTTTTGGCATTAGCATTGCCGTCTTTGAACGCACTCCCGGTGTCACACTCAAACTGAGAGTGTCATTCCTGAACTCGCCCCAGTAGTTGTATTCCTTTCAAGAGCTTGAAACACTGAAGCTACTCGCTCCGCTGTTAGTCGACCCCGATTTGAAAGGAACAGCTGCGCTGGCTTTCATGCATTTAAATGGTTGGAGTCGGGCTTCAGCACTGAGGTGAAACAAACACTATTCGAAAGGAAGCGCGTAACGCCCCGGAGCTGTTCTGGAGCTCCTCCTAGGTGTGAAAGGAATACAACTAGTGAAAGCACCTTTAGGGCGGATATTATAAAACTGCTTTGACAGTTAACTTAAAGTTAACTTTTTGAATTACATGTAATTCCAGAAGTTAACTCTCAAAGTAGTTTTATAATACCCGCCCTTAGTTGTATTTCTTTCACACCTAGGAGGAGCTCCGGAACAGCTCCGGGGCGTTACGCGCGTATTCCTTTCGAAAAGTGTTTGTTGCTCCTGAAGTGCTCAAGCCACAATCCAACCATTTGAATGCATGAAATACAGCGCATCTGTTCCTTTCAAATCGGGGTCGACTAACACCGGGGCGAGTAGCTCTAGTTTTTCAAACTCTTGAAAGAAATGCAGCTAGTTAACTTTTTGAATTACATGCAATTCCAGAAGTTAACTTTAAGTTAACTCTCAAAGTAGTTTTATAATACCCGCCCTTAGTAATAGAGAGATGTGTATACATTCAAAGGTGTATACTATAGGTAGGGTTGCCAACCGTTCTGCATTTCGGTGGACGTCCACTTTTCCAAATAACATCTCCAATTTCTTATATTTTATAGTCTGACATTTTATAAATGTATTCAGATTCATGAACTGACGCGCGAAATCGATTGTCCATTGAACACATCAATGCCGAATTTCAAATAATTATTCTTATACTTGCAAAGAACTTTTTATGATTTTTTAGACGGTAGGTAACAAGAAGTAAAAGGTAGTTGCGTTGCAACAAGTTTTAAAAAAAAAAAAATGATTTTAAGCGCCGTGCGTGATACCTATACTGTTAAAGTAGATGTAACTTTTTATATCCTTCAAGTAATTTGTTAATCTGAGTATAGTTTTGAAATAAAATGAAAAAAGTTCATTTATTAATCCCTATTTACCCAAAGAATCCTTGATGACCTTGTTGGACAGTTTTTTTTTAGTGAAGTTATCAGTTTTTTTTTTGTTTGATATGAATTGTTTTATTAAAGTTTTTAAATGTTTTTCTTTTGTGCAATTATGAAAATGTCCAGAATTTATACTGTACTTATATCCTGAATTTTTATCACTCGTGCCAAGAAAAATTGAAAAATAAAGTTGGCAACCCTAACTATAGGAACCAATTACCATAGAATAAGGTTTAAATGGGGATATAGAATGGTAACTCCCATGTTAAAAAAAAAGTTTATATATGTGGCGCCTGGCGCCTCTATAGGCTTGGGTCAAAGTAAAATGATTTTGGCAGGATATTTGAATTTGAAACTTTCTTCGTGGATGATCTTTCTAGGCCTTGATAAGATTTAACATTAGTTATTATATTTATCCCTCATTATAAGAAATAAATATAATATGTAATAACCAAGACGATCCTAGTCAACGCCAAAAACGTTTTTTGGATAAGATAGGAAAATAAAACTCGTGTCTGTCAATCGTTGGACTTATAATATTTTTATTTAGGTACATACATATTTATTTAAATAATAATTGAACTTTTTTGTTTGTCTTCACATTAATTTCATCACCAATGGGATT